ATTTTATCAAGCGGCATAGGATTTTCTTTATCAACTTGAATATCTAATAGTATTTGTAATCCTTTTTTATTAGTAATTTTAAGGGCATAATTTGGATAGATTTTGCTGACAACTCCTTTAAGAGGACTTTTTATCTTTCAGCCACTTAAATCGCAAAAATAATAGGCTTTTCCAAGCAGCGATTTTTTGTTTTTTTTAATAATTCGGCACTTAACTGGTTGTGATAAACCTTCATTATGTCAGCCAATTATTCACCGAAAAAAATTTTTTAATTTAACCCAATCGATTTGGAATTTCATATAAGGAGATTTTAACGACCGTTGTTATTGCTAAAAAACTTTTTTAAAATGTTTTAACAGATAACTTTCCACTCAAAAAAATTAAAAAAAAGCAGAGCAAAGTCGTATTTATTACCTTAATTTTTCTAACAATAACTTTCTATTAACTTAATAACTGGTTCTCACAAGTCAATCTCAAAAGTATTTTTTTTTCCTTGAAGTACCATCGCAATCCGTTCTAACCCTGCTCCAGTGTCAACGCACCTTTCGGCTAAGGGTAAATAATCTTTTTCTTTGTGATAAAATTCAGGAAAAACAATATTACAAACTTCAATAAATCGTTTATTATCTAAATCTTCAATATTTTTTGGCAAATTACCTTCCGGGTGGAAAGCAAAATAAATTTCAGTATTAGGACCGCAAGGACCATCACCCATATCTCAGAAATTAGTTTTCTTACTTCCAAGCAGTATGTGATTTTCCTTTACACCCTGATTTTTTCATACTTCGTAACTAACTTTGTCGTTTTCTCACACTGTAATAAAAAGAAGTTGAGGACTTATGTTTAATCATTTTGGCGAGGTAAATCATTCTCAAATGATCGGAATAGTCTCTTTTTTGAAATTACCTCCAACCGAAAAGATTCCTAACATTTCAAAAAGAGTTTGATGATAAGATTGAGAATTAATATTCACTAAATCGTCCGTTCGAATTACTCGTTGACAATTAACTAAATTACGACCAGGAGCCAAGTTAGGATTATTAAAATATTTCTTTAAAGTAGCCACTCCTGAATTAATTCATAACAAAGAAGGATCATTCTGAGGAATAAGGGAAACTGGTTCCAATAAACAGTAACCTTTTTGCTGAAAAATATCTAACCAACTTTGGCGAACATAATTGACAGTGAAACTAATTCCTTTATCACTTTTCATATTATTCATTTTAATCTGGTTGTATTGCATAACTTTTATCACTAAATAATTTTTGCCGGAAAATCTTCTTGCTAATTTTTTTAACTTCTTTTTGATGCATAGTAAGTGTAACAATTAAAGAGACTAATACACAAATTTACTCTAGGCAAGTTACCGCATCGGAGCAGGCATAAACAAAACAACTATTAAGAATAGAAAAAATAAAATCCATCCAATTGATATTCATTTACTGAAAAAATTGATAGTTCGGTAAAGAAGTCAGCAACAAAGAATGACAATAATAACATAAGGAAGAGTTTGTAATGGCTGAAAATCGCTAGACATATTGTAGGTTTTTGTAGTTATTAGGTTAAAACTGCATATTATCCCATAATTACTAGAAGAGCAAACACTCATTAATGATCAGTTTAACCCCTTCTTCAACTGCCTTTTCTCTAATCTCTCTCCGCGAACCAAAAAACTGATAAGAATTACTAATCAGACGTTCTTTGAGAGCCAAACCAACAAAAACCATTCCTACTGGCTTATTTTCTTGAGCCCGAGGTCCAGCATTACCGGTAAAACTAATGGCTAAATCTGCTGTTAATAGACGCTGAGTATTTCGGGCCATTTCCTTTGCACATTGTTCACTAATAGCACCATATTTTTCTAGTGTAGAAGGAGAAATTTTAACTAGTTTAACTTTGACTTCATTATTATAAGCAATAAAACCTCCTTTAAATATTTGACCTACTCCGGCAATATCAGTGAGTGATTTGGCAAACAAACCACCAGTTAGACTTTCGCAACTAGCAAGGGTTAGATTACGAGTGGCAAGTAGTCCAATCAGATACTTGGTGTTTAACTTTTCTGATTTCCTTAAATTTTGATTTTTCATAAGGCTTATGGCTAATGATGATATTACATTATTAGAATTAAATGTCAGTAAATTATTACTTTACCCATTCCAATTCTTAATCAGTCAATATAAGCAAATAAAAAAATAGAGAATACTAATAATCAGAAATGCTATTCCCATTAAACTAGTTCTTTGTTCTTCTTTCAAAATAGTAAAGTATTGAATGAAACAAAAGACGCAAGGGAAAAGAGTTAAAAATTTAGCAAAAGTTTTATTCATGTTATTATTTCTTATTTTTTAATTTTTCTAGTTCTCTAACTATTTTCCTCCGCCCTATAAAGTAATAGATTAAAAAAGAAAGCGAAGCAGTCAGGATAATGGCTAATTTTCAAACCATTTGACCCATTGGCATTTCTTTATATTTAACTAACATTCAACTTATTTTCAATCCTGTTGCTAAACCAGAAACTCCTAGCAAAATATTATATCAAAATAAATCAGATTTTAATTCTTTTATCTTTTCTTTATTCATTTCGTTCGTAGTTGACTTAGTTTTAGGGATAATAAATCAAAGATTACTGACATTTAATTCTAATAATGTAATAAATGTTTTATTGTTCTTGCTAAAAATTATAAATATATATGCCTATGGTCAGAAGAGAGAGAAATAGCAAATTAGTATAATTATAAGAAAACACTACCTAATTTGCTATATATTTTCTTAATTACTTTTGTAGTGATGGTAAAAACAGTTCACTAATTCTGCAAAATTAGTAAAAAATACAAAAATAAAATATTTAAAATCATATGGTAAATTGAAAAGAAATACATCCGGATTTTACTCCGGAATTGCAAAAAGATTGAGAAGAAAGAGGATTTAGTTATGAGCAAACAAAAGAATGAATAGATATTGGACTGAAACCTAATGATGCTGATTACGTTCAATGACTAAGAGATACTAAAAAAGTGAGTACAGAATGAATTTTAAATTGTGGTCAGGAAGAAAGGTTGAAAGAAGAATATAAAAATACAAAAATTTTGGTAAATTCAAAGAGTCAAGCACAAGAGTGAGTGAATCAAAATTATCCGGAAGAAGGAAGAAAAGAAATTGAATGTATAGATATTAGTAATAAAGATTTAGAAGGTTATTTAAATTTAACTGGTTTTGTTAATTTAAAGAATTTGGATTGCTCAAATAACCAATTAACCAGTTTAAATGTGGTTGATTGTTTGCAATTGGAAAGCATTCAGTGTGATTCTAACAAACTCACTAGTCTAAATTTGTCTGGTCTAAACCAATTAAAGGTAGTCAGTTGTAGTGATAATTATCTAACTAACTTTGATTATTTCTCTTCTGATCTTAATTTTGATAACTTGATTGCTTTAAATATAAGGAATAATAACCTTGCTGGGCAGGATTTATCGTGATTTAGTCACTTAACTAATTTGCAATATTTATGAATTGGCAATACTAAAAAAGAAAGAATTTGCAAAAATGTTTATAATCGATTTTATGGTAGTTTGGAACCTTTAAAAAATGCCCTCAAGTTGGAAATTTTGGACATTTCTAATACTGATATTGATTCTGGTTTGGAGTATTTACCAAAGAGCTTGAACATAGAGGAAATTTATTATTCCAATGAGTATAGACCTGAAAGTCAGTCGAAGAAATTAGTTAAAGAAATAAGAGATTTACTCATTGCAAAGTGAGAAAAAAGAGGGCTTAGTGGTGAGGAGATGAGAAAATGATCAGAAGCAGGTTTGTGAATAAATGATGCTAATTTTGCTGCATATCTTCGTTGGAAAGGATATAGTCCTCAACAAAATTTGAATTGAGAAAAATTAAGAGCAGAATTTGACAATTGATGACAAGTAAATAAAAAAACACAAGGTTGTTTAATTTTATTTTATCCAAAGGAAAAGAAAAAAGAAATTACTGAATTAAATATTAATGAAGAAAGTTTAGAAGGTTATTTGAAAATTGAAGGATTCATTAATCTTAGAGAGTTACGTTGTTATAATAACCAACTTATTTCCTTAGAAGTAGTTAATTGTCCTAATTTAGAGTTAATTAATTGTGATCATAATCAACTTAAAAGATTAGATATTCAAAATTGTTTTAATTTAAGAACGCTTAGTTGTCAAAATAATCTTTTAAATAAATTGGATTTAAGTCAAAATGGTAAGTTAGAAATATTAAACATTGATGATAATAATTTTCCTCCTCAAGATTTGTCTTTTTTAAGTCATTTGTTCAATTTGAAAGGTTTAGGACTAGGAAATGGTAATGAAAAGAGGATAAAAAAAGGTATTTATAATCATTTTGTTGGTTCTCTAAAATTTTTGCAAAATATGGCTAAGTTAGAAATATTAGGTATTGATAATACTGATCTGAGCGATGATCTAGAGTACTTGCCTGATAGTGTTAGATTTTTTTGGTGTTCAGCAAAATACAGAGGTGATTCTAAAGTAAAGAATATTTATAATCTTCTCACTGGCGAATTAGGAGAAAAGATGACAGATGAGAAATTTGGATTTATAAAGGGTTTCTCCCAGATGCTCCAAAATTATAAACGAGTACTAAAGGAGAGAATGAAAGAAGTAGTGGAAGAATGAGACTTTATAGTAACTTATGATGGTGATGTCAAACTTGTTCCTAAAGGTTATGGCGAAATATCAAATGATTCTAAACACCCAAAAGTAACTGTTAGTAAGGTAAATGCCCAAGAATGACTGGATAACAATTTTCCTCAAAAGCAAAGAAAAATCATTACTAAGTTAGATATCAAAGAAAAAAGTTTGGAGGCTAGTTTGGATCTGAATAACTTTGTGAACTTAGAAGAATTAGATTGTTCTTTTAATCAATTAAGTAAACTTGACCTAAGTAATTGTTTTAATCTTAGAAAAATTAATTGTTCAAATAACATTTTGCTTACAGAGGTTAAGTTGCCCCTAGATGGAAAAAAATTGGAAGAATTAAATTTAGAAAATAACAATCTTTCAAGACAGAATTTATCATGTTTTAGCAACTTGATAAATTTAAAGGAGTTAAATATTGGAAGTTTTGAAAAAATAGGAGCAAAAGTCCCAGAGAAAAATAACATAGAAAGTGAAAAAGATTGAGAAGCACGAAAAATAATTACCAAAGTAATGGCTTGAGCAACAGAGGGAAGTGAAATTGAACAAGATAAATATAATCGATTTTATGGTAGTTTGGAACCTTTAAAAAACTTAACCAAACTAGAAAGTCTCGATATTAGTAGTACCGATGTTGACTCCGGCTTAGAATACTTGCCTGATAGTTTAAAAGTACTTAAATGTTTTACTGATAAAAAACCAGAAGCTAAAGTAAGAAAAATTGACGAAGAATTATTTTTATACGGAGGGAATTTGAAAATTTGAAAAGAAGCACATTCAGAAAAAATGGCTAAAGTTTGAGGAAAAGGATGAAGAAATAAATTTTCTCATAATAAGCCTTTAAAAACAGTGATAACTGTACCTGCTCGTTTAATTGACGGAGAGGAAAATAAGATCGAAGAAAACTGCAAAATAGGAAAAATAAATTACCAGGAAATCACTCTTAGGAATAACTACCCTTTTTCTTGAGTAACCAGTCAAAGTGAATTGTCACTATCAGAAAAAGAAAAGTTGCCGCTTCGACTTTATAATATTGGAAGAGGTATAACAGACTTAGAAACAAAAAACATCGAAGAGTTAAAAAAGCATGTTGATTCAAAAGAGCAAATTGATATAAAGAAAAATTATGCTACCTTATCTTATGTTTGAGGTAAGATTGAAGAAGAAGATGCATTGACATCTTTAGGCAGAAAGTCTTTAACTAAAGCCATTAAAGCCTGCGAATTTATAGGAATTGACTACCTTTGAATAGATCAATTATGTATTAATCAAAAAGATCGAGAAGAAAAAGGAGATGAAGTAAGAAAAATGAGAAAGTGTTATGGGAATAGTGCAGTGACTTTAATTTCTATAAATACAAATGCCAAGGATGAAAAAATAGATAAAGTGAATAAAATAGAATTCGCTATAGAAACACTAAAAAAGATAATTAGTTCCCAATGATTCACACGTTCTTGAACTTTCCAAGAAGGATTATTATCTAAACAAACTATCTTTATGTTTGATGATGAATTAGTGGATGGAAGAACAATGGCTCAGGTATGAGAACTCCTTCAACAGTGAAGAGGTAACAAGAATTATAGTAAGTTGAATGATGATTTTCAAATATTTATCACTCCCTTGGGCTGAACTTATAATGAGAATAAGGATCAAGCAAGTTTGGGACTATCTAGTTCACTAGCAGCTGTCAAAGCCCGTGATCGTGGTAATCCTATAGATGGAATTTATTCTATTCTAGGACTGTTGCCTTATGGTGAAAAAGTGCCAGTTAGTTATAAATCAAAGATATGTCCTGAGTGTTCAGAACAAAAAGAAAATAAGGACTGCAAACATGAGGCAAAAAATAAAAAAAGACCTATTTATACTAAAGATGAAATGGAAAAAACTTTATTAGAGGTAATGAAACTTGCTATTCAAGAAAATCATTGTGATGAAACTCTAGCTTGATTTGGTCCAAGAAGAAATGAACCTTATTTATGATGAATACCCGAGATTGATGAAAAAGGTTCAAGCAATGTTGTGGGAGCAATGGATGTAAATCATAAATTAGGGAATATCAAATTAAATGAAAATGGAGTCAAGTTAATTGGCTCTCAGCACAAAATAATTCACCCGAATTTATTTAATATGGGAGAAAAATCATCTCTAAAAGCAGATGGGGGGTATGCAAATCAATTTTTAGTAAATACAGCAAGCGGCGGGTCTTTTTTTTTACAAGGAGCGGGGGAAATCCTTGAAAAAGCAAAAGATGGTGATATTTTAGTAGTGGTTAATAGTTCTTCTAAGAGAGGAGAGAATTTTTTAGCATCGAACGGGTTTGCTATTTTAGTGCCAAGTGAAAGTAATTTTGATTGTCCAATAAGCATATTGAAGTTAGTGAGTTTGCCACGAGAAGGTATTAAAATAAAAGAGCAAGAATTATTTATTGATATGGTTAACAAAAAAATAATTCCTGTGTCGTGAATTGAACTAGGAACCAAAATCATTGCTGAGTTTAAAATTGGCAAGCATACAAGAGAAACGGAAGAGAGAGTAAAAATACTTTTGCGAATGCAAAGTCAACTACTAAGATTGTCTGCGAAAAATAAGAAAGATGAAAGTGGTTGTTTGATTAAGAAGCAGTTAGAAAAGGTTAAGGGAGAGTTGAGTAAATATATAATAAATTTTGAAAAAATTTGCGAAGATGAAAAGGAAAGAATAAAAGCAAAAATAGAATTAAAGAGAATCGAGGGAGAAAATGAGAATAACTGGAAAAATATTCATCGAGATTTCAAAGACAGTGATTTGGTAGATGTTTGAAAAAATAAAGGCTTTACTCACGAACAAACTGAGGAGTGAATTTTCATAGGCCTGACACCTAATGATGTTGAATTTGCAATTTACTTGGAAGGTCAGGGAAAGACTCCCGAATGGTGTTTAAATTGTGATGATATGGACAAATTGAGGGAAGAATATATTAATAAAAGAAAGATGAAAGAAAATATTAACGAAAGTGAGAATAGTATTAGTATAACAAATATAGTATCTCAGTTCGGTGAAGAAATTGAATCCCAACTTCTTAAACCAGTCCTGCTAAAGCCAAGTAAAATTTCTTCTCAACCACTAACCGAACAAAACCAGACTTCTGCTATTCAACTGCAAGAAGAAAAATCAGAAACATTTACTCAAATCGAAACTAGCAATGATTGAAAATGACCTTTTGCTTATTGCTTTGGAAAAAGAAAGTAAATTATACTCTAATCAAAGAAAATAATTCATTATGCTAAAAGCCCAAGAATATTTAAATCAACTAAATAAAAATCAAACCATCCAAATTGAAGTTAAAAACCAAGACTTAACCGGACAACTAACTATCCAAGACTGACCTAACTTAGAAAAAGTTGACTTCTGCAACAACAGAGACCTTACCAGTATTGAACTCATCAATTTACCTAACTTAAAACATTTTCAGGCGAACAATTGTCAAATTGAAAATATTACTATTACTAACTGTCCTAATCTTACTTATTTCAATGTTGGCAATAATCTTCTTACTAAAACTGATTTCTTAAACAACTTAAACCCAGAAAAATTAACTTTTCTAAGTATTCACTCTAATAATTTCGCTAAGCAAAAACTAGACTTCCTTAGCCAGTTTACTAACTTAGAAGAACTCTACCTTGATAACTCTAATGAAGAAAACTTTGATCAAAGAATATATAATCACTTCTATGGTTCACTTAAACCTCTCCAAGACTTAACCAAGTTAAAATGATTAAGCATTGCTAAAACGGACATAGATAACGGTCTAGAATTCTTATCAATTAGTGTCAGAAAAATAGGTCTTAAAAAAGACTGAGGTTCTGATAATGATGGTAGTTGCGTTAAAATTGTTCGCGAATTAGAAAAGGCCTCTCAAGTTAAGGGAGTGACTGAAAATCTAATCCAAGAAGAAGAAAATGAGCCAATTTCGGTACGAGGCAAAGCCACTTGGTATCGAATTGCTCCCTGACGCCAAGCCTGAGATTTACTAGGAGAGGAAGAATTTAAGAAGCAAATTTCTCAGCAAAATGCTCAAATTTGATTAGATAAATATTATCCTAAAGAAACAATTAATGAAAGGGAAAAAAGAGAAAATATCACTTTTTTAAATATTAACAATAAAAACTTGGCAGGGCATTTGGATTTACATGACTTTGCTAGTTTAGAAAGTTTAAGTTGCTTAGGTAATAAACTTACTAGTCTAGACTTAAGCAGTTGTAGTAATTTAATTAAACTTAACTGTTCTAGTAATAAATTGACCAGCACCGAATTTTTGCAGGAAATACCTAATCCAAAAAAGTTAGAGGTATTAAGAATAAACAAAAACGAGGGACTGAAAGAAAACTTAAACTTTTTGTCTCTTTTTACTGGGATCAAAGAATTAAACGTTGAGGATTGCCCTTTGGTTGGTAGTTTAGAACCACTAAAGAGTGCAAAAAAGTTAAAAAAAATATTCATTAGTCGCACTCATATCAGCAAAGGCTTAGAATATTTACCAAAAAGTTGTCAAAAACTTTATTGTGATTATGATTACCAGTATAAGTCAATTAAGATCGTCGATGAACTAAGCAAATTTGCTGAAGAAAGGTATTATGACATTCCAAAATGAAGAGAAGACAAGCAAAGCAACATTACTGCTTCAGTTATCCCTCTAGAGAGATTATATGTTATTCGTAGCAATATTAAAAAATTTGTTAACAAATGAAGTAAAGAAGAGGACTATGATTGATACGAACTAAACCGTTGAAAGAAAAAGGCGAAAAGAGAAATCGTTCTAAGCAGGCTACAAAATCCCGACGATTTCAGTAAAAGTTGATGGCTTATTACAGGTCTGCAATGAACTAATCGAGCAGCCTCAGTAGTCGGTGGTAGTTTAGTATTTGTGGGACAATCAGACACTACTGATCCTAATTCGCAACTTTACACACAGGTTGGAGGTGTTATTGCTATCGCTTCTCCTTTTGTAGAAACAATTACTTCTTATATTAATGACCATATTTATGAGTCTAAGCGGGAACAATGAGATGAATTTGTGGAAGACATTAAAAGTTTACTTGATAATTATCACGAATTATTGGGGATAATCAAGAAGATAAAAAAATCTAAATTAGGGTCGGTGAATAAGGTACTTAACGACTTAAGGAGTAAGACTAAAAAATTTTTAAAGAAATATGATGAAGACAAAAATGAAGTAATTGATATTAATGAGTTGATAAAAGGCAGAATAAAGTTCGCTACCGATTTAAGCAAAGAAAATCTAGGTGAAGGAAGTAGTCAATTAGGTGATATTGTATTAGCAATGAAAAAATTAGAGGAAGAAATAGTTAAGTATCAACAAGGATATTCATTCGAGACAATTGAATCAGAAAGTGATTTAGAGGGAAATGAAAATAATAACTCATTAGAAAAAAATCGGGAGGCAAAAGGAACTGAAGTGGTAACAGAAGACCAGCAAAGTGAAATTCAAACTCAAATAGTAGTTTCATTACATCAACGTGATTTAAATAATTAAAGTATTATGAAAAGACTACTAAAGTCTGGATTGTGGTCGGTCTAAACTCGAAACTGAAAGATAAAACAAAGTAGATTGATGTCAATCTTGAAATTAATTTACAGAACTGATAAATTATGCAAATTTTTAAAAACTTCTGATTTTGATTACGCTTTTAACCCTAGTGAATCGGAGGGATTTTTTATGCGAGGGAGTCATCCAAAAAAAACTTAAACTCGTTACTAAAAATGTATAAGTTTTTTATCTTTGTTGTGACTTTGCGTTTAGCCTATGAAATAAAGTATCAATTCAAAATTTTATTACTTTTGAGCAATAAACTTACTATAGAGTATTTAAAAGCAGTAAAGAATTTTTTTTTTTAAGATATTCAGGTATCAAATTTAAAAAAATGCTAGCAGAGAAGGCATCAAGCCTTCTCTAATGATATAGCATTGACTGTTGAAAAACTCTCTGGCAAAACAAAAAAATTATTGATTTGGATTAACTGAAAAATTTGTTTGATATTCATTTTCTTGCTCTAACCTTATTGCTTTTTGTATAATTTCTCTAACAATTTTTTCTTTTCGTTCTTGACAAAGTTCCTCTACTTCATCAACAGTTAGGTGTTTGTAAAGTTTTTCTTTGAGTTCTTTTAATTCTTCTTCCGATTCCTCTAGCATTTCTTCAACGAGTTCAATGTCAATCATGTAGTCATCTTCAGTTGTGGAAATATTTGTCTTACCTTTCATAAAAGATAACATTGTGATTTTCTCTTGCGTTGCTAAAAGTTCTTCTATTTGTTCTTGTACTTCTCCAGATAATTCTTTTAACTTGTTTACGACTTTTTTATTTACTACATCAATGAACAACTTTTCTATTTTTCTAGGAATTCTTCATTCGTTTGATAACAATAATAATCATAGTGTATCCATCGGACAATCGGAATTGTCCTTGTTAGGTACTAAAATGGCAAATCCTTCTCATCAACCGATGTCATTTAACTTAACGTCATTTTCAATTTTTCATTGTTCCTGATCAGGTACTACTATGGTATCACCCGGTTTTATTTTTTCTAGAGTTTCTTTAACTCCCTTTAACATAAATTTATTAGCAAAAAGATTATCGTTATCATCCACATATATATTCAACTTACCGGTTTTTCCATCCCTTGAATAAACAAAATCACTTGAATCATTGTTAACTACATGCTGAGAGCCATTCAATCTAATCCCAGTTTCAGTAAGTTCGATACTTTCTGGTTTGCAACGGATACTTATCCCTCCTCAAACTTCGGTCGAACCCCTTTCATCGACTTCAGGTATTCATCATTTGCTAGGTTCTTTTCTTCTCGGACCATTCCAAGATAAAGGCTCAAGATATCCTTCTTTTATGGATAGTTTTACCAAACTCATTAGACTGTTTTCTAACTCTTCTTTAGTATAAATAGGATATTTTTTACTTTCTTCTACATGAGAACAATCTTTAGTCTCTTGTTGGTTCGGACATAGATAACATATCTTCGGCTTATATTTTACTTTCATTTCTTCACCATAAGGTAGCAGACCAAGGATGGAATAAATACCGTCGATTGGGTTGCCTCGGTTACGGCTTTTTACCGATTCTAGTGCTTGTAGTAAACCTAAGTTGACCTTTTCTTTTCAATAATTTACATTCCCACAATAAGTTCAGCCAACCGGGGTGGCAAATATTTTAGTTTCTTCATCTAACTTGCTGAAATAACCCTCTGTTTGGTGGAGAAGTGCCCAGATCTGGGCTAGTAGCCTTCCATCTACTAAACAATCATCAAACATAAAGATAGTTTGTTTAGATAATAATCCTTCTTGGAAAGTTCAAGAACGAGAGAACCACTGTGATTTGATTACCCTTTTCAGGATTTCTTTAGCAAACTTTTCCTTATTTTCTCTGTTGTTATCTTTATCTTCTAACTTAGTATTAATAGATATTAAAGTAACTGTGCTATCACCATAACACTTTCTCATTTTTCTTACTTCATCTCCTTTTTCTTCTCGATCTTTTTGATTAATACATAATTGATCTATTCAAAGGTAGTCAATATTTAAGTACTCACAGGCTTTGATAGCCTTAACTAAAGCCTTTTCACCTCATTTAGTGATAGTTAATTCTTCTTCATATTCCTTATTGTCTTTTTGATAGGTCATTTTCACCTTTTCTAATAAAGATTCATCTCTCATACTACCTCATACATAAGAAAGTGTAGCATAGTTCTTTATGTTAAAGTTATTTTCAGTTCATTCTACTTTGTTGGTTTTAATATTGTAGAGTTTGAGGGGTAGATTTTTGGGAAACGATGATTCAGACTGCTTAGTTTCTCAAGAAAAAGGACGATTATCACGAAGAGAAAATCCTTGGTAGTTTGCTGACTCTAAATCAGAATTTTCTTCAGTGCTATCCTTACCCTCATCTTTTTTGAGTCAATCAGATCAATCGGCTGGCATAGTTATCGTTACTTCTAAAGACTTGTTTTTATATGAGTCATTTACTTTACTTGCACCCATTAGTTCTGGGTGGGCCTCTTGTCAAGATTTTAGTCTTCACCCATAAAGGGATAATTCTTCATCAAGTCTTTTAACTTTTGCCTTAGGTCTTAAATGATTGGAACATTCTAACTCTTTCAAGTTTTTTGATAAATATTGTAATCCATCACTTACATCGGTATTGCTTATATCAAGTCCTTCTAGTTTAGTTAAACCATATAAAGGCTCTAAAGAGCCGCAAAAACGATTATAAATACTTCTTCTGCCTCGGTCTAATTTTTCGCTATCATCATTTCCAATCAATAATTGTTTTAGATTAACCAGATGACTAAAAATTGACAAATCTTGTTCTGGAAAATTGTTATTTTTAATATACAAACGCTCCATTTTTCCTCCTTCAGAAGACAATTTTATTTCCGTAAGAAGATTATCGCAACAATTAAGTAAATCAAGATTGAAGCATTCTGATAAATCTAGACTAATTAGTTGATTATCTGAGCAATTAAGCATGCCTAATCATGGGCAATTGATAATTCTCAGGCTGGAAAGATTATTACTATTGCATTTCAACCAATCCAAGTTAGGAAGATTTTCACAAATTAATTCTTTAACACTTCCTAACTCACCAATTTCAACCTTTCCTAACTGCGGACAGTTACTGATAACTAACTTAACTATTTTAGCAGAATATTTATTGCTTATTTCTTTTAAATTAGGATAATTGTCGATAATTAGTTCTCCCTTTTCATTAATACTACTCAACTCTGAGAAATCAATTTTTTCTATTGATTCTTGAGACGTTTTATACTTTCTTCTTATTCTCCCTCCACTGAAAACAAAAGAATCAGATTTTTCTAATAGTTTCCTTACCTTGTCTACTTTCGCATCGGATCTTTGCCTATTGGAGTAGAGGAGTTCTTTTAGACTATATGGTAAAAATTCTATTCCGCTATCTACATCAGTATTAGAGATATCCAATTTTTTTAGTCTGGCCAGTCCCTTTAAAGGTTCGAGAGAACCATAAAATCTATTTCCTCTTTTTTCTGTCATTTCCTTAGAACATTTAGTGGTTCCTAAATACAGTCCATCTAAACTAGTGAAACGAGAGAAAGGAGTCAAATTACTGCGGATACCATTCGAACATATTACTAAATCTCTCAATTTTTTAGGATTAGGCAATTGGCTTAGAAAACTCATGTCCGTTAATTCATTGAAATCTTCGTACCTGTATTCATTCCATTTTTCATTATTACTTACATCTAGCACTCTAAGGTTTTCACAATTTCTTAAGTCCAAATTTTTCAAACGATTGTTAGAACAATAAAGTTTTTCTAAGTATCTGTTTCCGCTTAAGTCAACTTCTAATAATTTGTTTGTTGAGAAATCAAGGAATTGTAACATTTCACTGTTATTCAAATATAGATCGGTTAAATGATTTCCTTGACAATCTAGTTTCAGCAAATTCTCAAATCCTGTTAGGTCTAATTCTCCTTCTAAGTATTCATTCTTTTTTAGTAATTTATCGTTGCGTAGTACGTAGACGCTGATATCTAAATCAGTGATTTCGCTTCTTTTCTTACCGAAATTTTTTTGATCCTTTGAATTTATACAAACACTATACTTGGGGTAATATTTATCCAGTCATTCTTGGGCACTAATATCTACCTCTTTTTTTTCATTTTCTAAAAAAGAAGGGTTACCGAGAAAATATTTAACATTGTTTCCTCTTAATTCATCATTACTAAAATTTCAATAGTCAAATCCTAGGCTTTCTCGATTACCTTCGCTATTCTTTTTATTTCAGTTTGGTTCCCCTAGAATTTTCTCAAATAATTTTATCAAAGTTAAATCAGTATCACCAATATAACTTGCTTCTTCCCTACCATAACCCGAATTCTCATTTTGACAATTCTCTGCAATACTAGCAGTATATTGTTTTCTTAAATTTTCAATATTCTCGTAATTCAAACAATCTTCCGTACTATAGTCCTGTTCCTCAAGATAATCAGCGAAGTCGGCATCACTAACTTCAAGACCAACATCTATTCATTCTTTTGTTTGCTCATAACTAAATCCTCTTTCTTCTCAATCTTTTTGCAATTCCGGAGTAAAATCCGGATGTATTTCTTTTCAATTTACCATATGATTTTAAATATTTTATTTTTGTATTTTTTACTAATTTTGCAGAATTAGTGAACTGTTTTTACCATCACTACAAAAGTAATTAAGAAAATATATAGCAAATTAGGTAGTGTTTTCTTATAATTATACTAATTTGCTATTTCTCTCTCTTCTGACCATAGGCAAGTATTCTATTGTTAATTATTTTTATTAGTTTTTATTTTACTTAGTAGCAAAATTATTTCTTCCTACTAAATTAAGAAGTTTTAAATCTTTTAGCAGGAACTTCAGTTTGGGCTAACTGCTGATTGGTTAGTTGGGTCATTTGTTCTTTTAGTTCTGTAATTTCTTTTTCATAATTTTCTATTTTATTGGCTAACTCAGGAATTAGTTTTTGGTTTTGTTCTTTTAATCTTTTATTTTCCCCCTCTAACTCCTTAATTCGGTCTAATAGTTCCTGCCGGTGTTTTTTGTTATAAACTTCAAAATTTTCCATAGCATCCAAGTGAGTTTGGGCTTCTATGGCTACTTGGGTTTTTTCCTCCTGTAAAGCATTTATCTGTCGTTCGTAAAAAGCAAACATGCTTTCTCTCGGAGGCGAGGAGGAAGTTTCTTTTTCTTCCACATTTTCTCCACGTTCAATACAGCGACAAACATATTTACCATCACAAACATCATCATTTATCTTTAATCTTCCACATCTTTCGCATTTTGACAGTTCATTATTTTCAAACTTCTCTTTGCAACTCTCACAAGCCATATCATTAGCAACTAATGCCCCAGTCACTTTGGTTCGTGTTCTAATTTGACAAATCGCTTTATTGTTCTCATTTTCAAACCAGGAACAAAAGTCACAGATAGAATTTTTACTGCATCATTCTTCTAACTCCAAAATTGTGTAAACTAGTTCTCTCATTTATTTAGTTTATTGGAACTTCTATGTTAGCATTTAACTCCTGTATTTCTTCCTCCTCTAATAGTTGTTGAAGTTCAACTTTCTTTCTACTTTCTAGTTCAACTTTTTCATCTTCTCTCTTTCTCTTTTTTGAAGAATTGTTAACTGAATGTAATTGTGCTTCTAATGCTTTAATTTTTTGGTTTTTCTTTGCTTCTCTCTCCTTAGCCTCTTTCAACATTTGTGATTTTATTTCTCCTTCTTCTTTTAATTTCTGATTTTCTGCTTTTATCTTTCTTAGTTTCTCGGCACTCTCTCGCAGTAATTCTGATTTGATTTTGTTCTCTTCTACTAATAACTCTTTATTTCATGGACTTTCTGGGCTTTTTTTGTTAATTTCTAGGTGTGTAATTGCGTCAAGTTCCATTTTTTCAATAATTTGGATATTAGTTTCAATTAACTTGCCATCTCCAATGTCTTTTAATAATTCCTGGGGTTTATCTAACATTCAAAATAAGTCTTGCTCTTCTTGTCAATATTGTGAAGCATTAATATATTTATTTTGCTTTTTCAAACTGGAAGGTTTAGTTCCTTCTTTTACTCTTTCTTTAAGTTCTTTAAATAAACTGTGAGTTCCTCTCGCAAAGAATCGTTTTTCATCTAGTCAATAACCTCGTAAAAGACTAGTAATATAACTTTCCAATTCTTGATATTGAAACTTCTCTCAAATATCTTTACCTAAACTTTCTTGATAACCATTTATTACTTTTAAAATGTTTTGCTTTAAAAAGTTTTTAAACTCTTCTTTTTCTTCTTCGGTTAATATAGTTTCGTTATCGAGATTTTTTTGATTTTACTTAATTTTAATTCGATAGCAAAACTCCTTTGAATGTCATTAAAGACAGCACAGGCTTTTAAAGCATTAATTTCATTAAGGATTTTGTTCTTACTTTCTGTATTTATATTACTAATTATTTTCATATTTTTTAAATATTTTAATATTGCCTAATTATTTAGCAATATATTTATTATTAATAATATTATATATAATAGTAAGTAAATGATCTAAATATTTTTTCTCTTTTTAAACTATACCAGCGGGCAAAAAACAAAAATATGAAAAACCCGCTGGCTATCATGAAAATTTTTCTTTTAAGGGGAGAAAACAAGTATTTAAAAAAAACAAAAGAACCCCAAAATCTTACACTAATGGGGCGAACAGCGAGAATTGAACTCGCGACACCAGTACCACACACTGGGATTTTACCACTAAACTATACTCGCCAAAATTATTAAAAGCAAAATATTTTAAATTGGACCGAACACCGGGAATCGAACCCGGGCCATCAGGATGGCTACCTGATTTTCTGCCACTAAAATATGTTCGGAATTATATCCGTTTTACGATAAATATATTTTAATTGATATCTTTTTTCAAAAATTTTCGGCAATATAATTTCCAAAAAGACCAACCTATCAAGAAAGAAAAAGGTAAGAAAAGAAACATTACAAAGACAAAATAGTGAGAAAGAATCCAAAATAAACAGAAGGTAATAATCAGAAAAATCAAATAAAGGGCAGATGATAAAACCGTTGTAAATGAGTAATTTTCTGCAAAATAGAAACTGCTGGGAACTGATAGTAAAAAATTTTGAACGGTCCAAACCAATCCGCTAAGTAGCAAAAAAAGAAAATTTAGCGGCAGAGAAATGTCAGGGAAAGCAAAAAGGAGATAACAAAAAATGCCCAGACTAATTAGCAAATTAATTACCCAGAAAATGGTAAGAGTTAGAGCAAACTTGGCTAATATTACAGTTTCTCGATTAACTTTCGGAGTAAAAACCAGCACTTTTAAATCATCAACATTATTTTTTCTTACTTGTTTAATAAAAGAAGAACCATATGCTTCAATACCAACTAAATCATTGACTACGAAACTAATTATCATGTACATGATTAGTAGTTGGACTAACGAGATCAGAAAAAAATTATTTAAAATTCCCTGACAGGTTTTCATGATTCCTAATTGGAATTTTGTGATAACATAAAAATTCATTGCTCCGATAAATAAAGACATTACCAGATAATAAGCCAACATTCACCATTTTCTAAATATTTTTTGTCAATAATAATGATATAATTTGGCAAATACTTTCTTGTTTATTTTTCTAAATTGTAACATTAATTTAAGTCTTCTTGCTGATAATAGGAGTAATAAAAGATAAGAAGTAAACTACCGAGGATCACTGCAAAGCCGATGTGAACTAAGGGGTGATAGTAATAATATTCTATTTTGGCAACTGTATCAAAAAAACCTCCACCTTCTCCCTTACTTATAGTAGAATTTGTTGCTGCATTAAGGAAAAATCAACCAACTGAAAAATAGTGTAGAAGGAACTGAACAATTTGTCCAAATACCCCTCAAAGGCTGGTCGAAAGATAAAGAGTAGCTGGAAATAAAAGAAATAAAATTGAACCGAGGAAGGTAGTTCAGAAAACAAATAGCAAGTAAGTCCCTCAGGAAGTAATACCCGGTCCGAAGGCGAATAGGAATATAGTATAGGGCAAAACGAACCCTAAAAGAGTATAAATTGCTAAATTGCTAAGCAAAGTCAAAATTTTTCCAAAAAATAAATGGCTTCTTTCCACTCCTGGGCTCAGACTTAAAACCATAGAGTCTTCCCCGTTTTTTTTGGCTTCAACAAACAGGCTACTTAAAAGAGAATAGGCCAAAAAAGTTCCTAAGATAATCCCGCTCATATTCCAAAGGGATAAATGGTGAACTAGTCCTATTTTTTTTCCTATTCCGTCCTGGTCCAAATTGGATTGACGAGCAGAAAACTCAGTTAATGCCTCATAAATAGGATAATGACTTGTCACATACTTGGCTTTTCATTTCGCTTCCTCGGATAAATTTTTAACTCTGCTATCTGGTATTCTAATAATTTCCTTGTTTCTTAATTTCTTGGCAAATAATTTATATTTCTCACTTTTTTCTGGTTCTTTTGTGTTGGCAGCCTGCTCTTCTCATCATTTAATCGCTTCCTCATCAAATAAAAACCCCCCCTGGTAGTGCTTATCAAGAGATCCTTTTCAACCGAATTCTTCATTTAATTCTTGTTCTGTTCATACACTTTTGAGGATAACATCGCCTTTCCTAAACTGCTCAGTGCCCATCCAAGAATATGCTCCTCACCAGGCCCAGCATAAGGCAACTGCTATCCACAATCTTCAACTGCCTCAAAGGCTTTTTTTAAGATAATATTTGTATAACTTACCAGTATGGGACATAACTAATTTTTATAATTCGAATAATCTTTTTTTAGTTTTGACAAAGTATTCTTCATAAGTTTCTTCAATGTCATCCGTTTTCGGTCCAGTATAGACTATTTCTCCCCCTTTAATCATTGTAATATCATCAGCCAATTTTTGTAAATCGGAAAGAATATGAGTCGACATTAAAATAGTTCCTCCTTTCTCTCGAATGGCTTTTAAATTATCAAATAAATCATGGCGAAAACTAGGGTCCAAACCATTAAAAGGTTCATCCAATAAGTATATTTTCGGCTTGTAAAGACTTAAAGCAAAAAATTGCAGGATTTTTTTTCAACCGGTTGACAGGGAACGACAACTTTGGTAGCGAAATTGATAAAGAGGGGAATTAGCAAGTTTTCTGAGTACCTCTTTTTTGGGAATGTCCCGTAAAAAGCCAACAACCTCTACCAAATAACTTTCTACCGTAGAGTTCGGGAGGTTGGGTTCAGCCGGAATTCAACCCAATCGTTCATTAAAACTAGGATCATTTCTTACCGACTTAAAGTCAATGTATTCTTCACCGCCATTTGGTAAAATCAAACGCACTAAAATATTAAGAGTAGTTGATTTACCAGCCCCATTAGGACCAATGAAGCCATGGATGGTTCCAGCCCGTACAGAGAAGGAAACGTTGTTAAGCACTGCCTTTTCATTAAACTTTTTATTAACCTGTTTAATTTCTATTGTTTTTTTACTCGCGATTTCCATATAGTTAATTATAATTTTAGAAATTTTAAATATTTTTCAATTAATTAATTTTAGCGAGAAGCCGCAAAATCGCAAAATATTTATTATAATAGATTATAGTTAATGTCCTCTGAAACTGTATTTACTAAGTCTGTCCTTAAAACCAAAAAGAAAAGTAAGTTCAAAATACTTTTTTTGGTCTTAGGTCGTATTATCAAAAATAATCCTAAGTTATTTTTGCTTTGCTCTGTATTAGCGGTAATCACAGCAGTTATTAACTTTAACATTGGAATTAACTTTAAAGATGCATTTATTACCGAGGAAAGAACTTTAACTAATAAAGTTATTGCTGAACTAGAAAGAAGGAATAAAGGAGAGGAAATAAAAGCAGAAGAAATAAAAGAAATATTAGAAAAAAAATACAATAGCGTTAGCGAACAGCAGACCAAAGTCAAAAATGGTATTGAGAGTGAATTAGCCAACAAAAGAAGTTTAAAAAAAGAAGCGGCTATTGATTTAGTCAAAGAGGCCGGCAAAGACACTAAGAATAGAACTATTTTCACTAAAAAAGATTTCAAATTCGAATTTAATCTTTTCGGTTGGAAAGTGGTTGAATGAACCGAACTCCACTTAATCAAAAATTTTGGTTTTATTCCCTGTATGTTGCTGCTTATTTTTGTGTTCAAATCACTTTTTTCTTTAATTCATTACTATTGAATGAGTTACTCTTACGATAGTATAGAAAGAGACTTGAAAAAGGACCTATTCCTTCATTTCGTTCGGGCTAAGTATACTAATTCTTCCGAAGTTTCTCGCAACCTAATAACTCAATTTGCTGGTGATTTGGATGATATTGCCCGGAATATTTGGTTTATTCCTAATCGTTTAATCTTTGTTTTCATTTCCATTTTTTTGTACGTTGCTTTTGATTTTAATTTCGGGAAAGGGGGGACAAATTGAAAATTTGTTGGAATTTTATCGGCTTTATTTGTGTTCTTAATTGCAGTAGAAGTCTTTCTCTTTATTCAAGCATCCAAACTAAGCATTGCTGCTAAAAAAAGGTATGAAAAGGATAATAAAGTAATTTATGAACGAATTAATAATCTAGAATATGTTAAAGTTGTTTCAGGGGAAAAATACGAAGAGAAAAAAATTGACAAACAATTGGACTCTACCTTTCAAAAAAATAAAAAATCTCTGTGGTACAGTGTCTTGTTTAAGGCGATTCCTAATTATGTCATAATACCTAATATACCGATAACTTTCGTAGCCCTAGCAGCCTGATTTACCGATAAATCTCAAGAAAATGATACGGTATTTTTAATAGCCAATTTTGTTCGTTACTATATTACTGCTCAAAGGTTAAACGGTGAAATAAACAAAATAGTTGATGCTTTAATGACGATAGATGACCTTTCCAGCAACTTGTCTGTTGTCAGCGAGAGTGCTAAGATTCTTAATCGAGAAACTACTCCTATTCTGCCAGCACCTCCCGCTAAAAATCTCCCTTTCCAAAACGGCGATCTAGTTTTCCAAAATGTTGTATTTGCTTACCCAAAAAGACCTCAGCAAGACATTTTGCGCAATTTTTCTTTCCGGTTTGTTCGAGGAAAAATCTACGGCATTGCTGGTAAAAATGGTATTGGTAAAAGCACCATTACTAAAACTACCTTGAAACTTTATGAAATAAAAGAAGGACAAATTTTAATTGGCAAAAACAATATTCAAGAAATAGAAACTACTAGTCTTCATCGTCATGTTTGTTACCAAACTAACCGTCCTATCTTCTTCCAAATGAGTATTGCTGAAAATGTTTTCTATCCAAATGAATATGATAAGAAAGATTTAGATAAATTAGTTGTTGCTGCTCAAAAAGTTGGAATTTACGAGTTTATTACCAGTCTTCCTAATGGTTTTGAAACAATATTAAAAGAAGGAGGAACCGATTTGTCCGAAGGGCAGAAGCAACAGATTAAAGCCATGCAGATGTTTATTTATGAATATGATATTTACATTTTAGACGAGATTTTAAGTAATGTTCATCCGGTCTTGAAAGAAACCATTTTGGACAACATTTTTGATAAAATAAAAGGTAGCACTGTTTTAGTAATTGACCATCATTACAGAATTTTCCATTACGTTGATTATGTCTATCAGTTTACTGGTGAGAAACTAATCAAAATGAAAAAAAGTGATTTTGTGAGTTAAGTAGTTTCGTGGATTTCCACTGTTTATTTAGTTAGACTACAAAACTCCTAGGACAAACAAACTAACTACCAAAAGGATGATAGAGGAAATGGCTATCAAAAAGATATAAATTAATGGCAAGTTATTACAACCTCCAGAAAAGATTTTAGATGTACCTGATTCTTGCATAGTATTTTTATTAATTTTAATTAAAACTTTTTAAAACATTTTTATAATGTTTCCAGACAGTTTTATAAGATTGGAAAGACTTATTTCCTTTTGTCTCGCTGTTTCTATAATTATTTTATTTTTTAGAATAATATTTTTTATCTGGTGAAGAAAGTTATATTGATGAGATTGCTTTTTAATACCGCCGATTTTTTTAGTTATTTCTTTTCTAGTACTTCGAATAGGAGCACCTTTTTGGCTCTTCTCCAGAGATTGAATAATTTTCCTTTACTTTTCCTTGGTCTTCTTAGTGATTTGAGCAGTAGCATTATTTATTTGGTTTATCAAAGATGGCGAAGAAGAGGAAAGAATTTAAAAAAAATGTAATTTTTATTTTTCATTCACTATTCAATTAGTAATTCTTGGACTAATTCGGGTCGCATAGGCAGTGAAAAGTTTAGGCTCGGCGATACGCAAATTCTTATTTTTTTATTCATTTTAATGGCGTGCTTCTTTATAAAAAAAACCTTATACTTTTAATATTAAGTAAAATTCAGAGCATCAAAGCGAAATCTAGTAAATCAATTTTGTTTTATCATCAATTAGCTTTATAATCTTGACTACTCTGATAATCTAAGCCGGTATTTTGAACTTGCTCAATAATGTCGGCAATTACCTTTTCACATTTTTCTGGGGGGCAAATTGGTACCAATAACTCTCTCAATCAATTATTAAAGGCTGGTATTTTACTATTTCCTTTTAACCAATCGATATTGTTTCTTTTTTTCTCTTCAATACCTTTTACTATCTCCTTAGAAAGCACTTGTGATTTTTGGAGGGAATAACTTTGAAGGATGTAGAAGTAAGGATATTCTTGCTGTTTACCATGTTGAGAACTTTCTTTAAGAATGTTTTGGCTTTCTTGAATGATTTTAATTAGGGAAGTAGCCAATTCTTCATAGTTGTTGTATTCGGCTAAAGCCGAATTTATCTTTTTAGTGATTACTTTACTGGCTTTCAAACTAATCTTTTCTAGTTTTAGTTTTGTGTTTTCTAATCAAGAACGAAGAAAAATAACTCTGAGGTGGCTATCATAAACCTTTTTGGCTTGAAATAACAATTTATCAATATCCTCAGAGGTAGTGTCTTCATACATAGGAGAAAGGGACTGATTTTTCTTATCTTCTCTTTTTTCTCGATAACCAACTATTTTTCCCTTCCGTGCCTTTTTTAAGTAATCATTTAATTGAAGAAAATGCTTCATTTTTTCTTTTTCTGTTGAAGAAATTTTTTCTGCCTTTCCACATTCTAAACAGGAACGAAAGATTCGACATTTTTGTTTTAAAAAGAGATAAAACTCCTGGTTTTCTCATGTTCAATCTGCTAGTTTTTTTCTGGTTTCTTCTTTTTCATAATTGTAGGCTCAGTCTGGCAATTTCTTTTCTAATTCTTGAAGTGCTTCTTGGGCTAGTTTAGACAATTCTTCATAATTGATAATAGTATTGATTTTCTTTAAATTTTTTCCCAGACCAACAAAATCAACAATTATTCCTTGTCTCTTACTCGGATAACGCCGGTTAACTCTCATAACAGTTTGCTCTAAAGTGTGAAATTGATTAATATACTTATCAATATACATTAATTGTAACTGAGGCATGTCAAAACCTACTGTGTGTTTTTCTATTTCGAAAGTCTCTTAATCATTGGCTCCTTTCTTTTGAGGAACCGATGATGTTTCTCATTTCTTGAAGGTAATCATTGTTTTCCTCGCTGGTTACATCACTGATATCAATTTTTACTTTATTATAAAGTATATTTTTCTGTCCCTCAATCACTCTTTCTTGTAATAACTGGTACATTTTACAGGCAGCCACTTTACTTCCTGCTACAATAATAGCCTTATCGCAGACAACCTGCGGAAGAACTGTTAAATAATGCTGATAAAACTTACCAATTACCTTAGCCAAATACTCATCGTCTTCAAAAATTCCCTTTACTGTCGTTTTTTCTTTATGAAAAGGAACAAACTGGTTATAGCAAATAATCTTTACGGTTAATTTATCCTCTACTGCTTCTTCTCGGGTGTAATGGTGAATAATCGGACCAAAAACTTGAAAAGTAGAGCGGTCATTATCCTCAATAGGAGTAGCAGTTAGTCCTAGATAATTAGCATTGGGTAAAGAAGTGAAAATTCACTTGGCTAAACCATAACGTTCCTCAAAAGATTTATTGTCTAGTTTTGCTTTCTCTCCATATCAAGAGCGATGAGCCTCGTCAACAATCACAAAAATATCTTCTCTTTTATTTCAGGCTTCAATAATTTGACTATCGCCTTTTTGAATGGTATGAAAAATAATTCCTCCTTGTTTTTTCTTTTTTAAAGTTTCCTGTAAATCTTTGCGGTTCTCAATGGCAACTATTTCTTGGTTAAAAAAAAGATTCACCTGACGGAATTTTTTGGTGATTTGCTCATCCAAGGCATTGCGGTCAGTAATAACAACAATAGTAGAATTTTTATAAAGAGAAGTCTGAAAAATTACTTTGACTAAAAAAATCATTAAAAAAGATTTTCCGGAACCCTGTGTATGTTGGATTATTCCTTTCCGCGTTTGCGAAGAATTAGTTAGTTGGTTTTTAAAAATTTGAGTAGCGAAATATTGATGATACCCAGCAATAATCTTATTTTCTTTTCTCCCAGTTTTATAATAAAAAGTAAAGTTTTCGAGCAAATCCAAAATTACTGCTGGTTTTAAGAGTTCAGTTTCTAAAAGTGAACTAACTTTTTGCTCTGGCTTATCTTCTCTCCAATATCAAAATTCATTAATATTTGTTGCGGTTAAAGTTCCATATTTGGTTTCCTGCCAATTATTACAATCCCAGCAATATTTCTTCCCTTCTTCGCTAGAGGTTTTGTCATTTCGAGCATCATGCTCATTAGTAATAATGGTCAACAAATTAAATCAAAATAACTGAGGGATATTGGTTCAATAATTTTTAATTTGGTTAAAAGCATCCTCAACAGAACCTAGGGAAGGTGATTTAAGTTCGATGACGACAAGAGGCAAACCGTTGACAAACAAAACTAAGTCAGGTCTTTTACTTCACTGTTGACCAGTTATAGAAAACTCTGATAAAAATTGAAAATAATTGTCAGAAGCACCTTTAAAGTTAAAGATTTGAATGGGAGAGGGATAACTAGGTAAATTAATTCCTGATATCATTAATTGATGAATTTTTTTGTTAATTTCAACTAGAGAAAGATTATTATTAGTAAAAATTTTATCTCTAATTTGACTAATTAATTTTTCGGTAAAATTGATCTGAGGATTCAATTTACGTAATTGATTAACAAAACTTTCTTTGTAAAGAAAAGTTTGGGAACTATTATAGCGTTCAGCCAGTTTATCTTTTGGGATTTCTTGTCAACCTAATTCTTTTAATCGCTGAATAATCTGCTCCTTTAACCAATTTTCGTCTCTTTTGAGAAAATTCATAATAATAAAGATTTTAAATTATTTATTATCAAAGAAAAATAATTTAATGAAAAAATATCTTCTGAAAGATTTATTTGAATTGAGAAAAGAAAAGGTCCCGGCCGGAAATTTTTTGATTATTAATGGGGATGACTTTTATTCTAACTCACCTTATTTTTTGAAAAATTATCGTTATGGAAATTTCCCTGACACAAAATTAAAAAAAACTGGTTATAATGGTTTTTTTAAGGAAGGAGATATTTTGCTTTTAACAATTGGGGCAAAAAAGAAAGTTTGACTAGCCGACCAAAATGGGGTTTGTGCTAGCGGAAACAACAAAATCAAAATAATAAGTGCTAAACAAAGGATAATTTTTGCTGAATATCTTATCGCCTTGTTAATAAGCAACAATATGACTAATTGGTTAAAAGCAACTTTGGCTGGCTCAGTAATTCCCCAGGTTTTATGGCTGCCATTTATTCAAAAAGAGGTGTTTATTCCTTCCTTGGAAGAACAAAAAAAAGTCATTTCTCACTTAGCCAACTTGAGAAAATACTGAGCGAAGATTGAACAACTTTCCCAAAAGATTGAACAACTTGCTCTCTCTCTCTCTCTCTCTCTCGACAATTAACTCTTAACGAGCAATTGGTTAAACAAAAATTAGGAGAATTAGCAATTATTTCTCGTGGAAAGAATATCTTATCAGCCGCGGTTATTAAGGATAATGGAATTTACCGTTTTTACAGTTGTAGTAAAAAAAGAATTTTCTCTAATCAATTTTCTCAGAAAGAGAAAGCGGTTGTCCTTGCCACTGCTTGGGATTTTCCTAACCAAGGAGAGAATTTTCTAGTAGAATACACTAATTTGCCTTTTAATGCTTCAACAGATATTTGCGTAATTCGTTCCAAAGACAATAAAAAACTTGTTTCTGCTTTTTGCTCTCTTAAAATTGACCGCCAATTATTAAGAAATTATTTTTGTTCCACCAGGAAGATTCAAAGATTAAATGGCAAAACAATAATTATTTTTCCAATTACCATTTTTCCTCCTCAGACAGAAGAAGTATTGGAAAAATTATTAAATTTTAGTTGTTCAACTTCCTTTTTCGCTCAAAGAATTAATTTATTATCACAGTTTTTCAGCGAGCAAATAGAAATAAAAACTAATCAACTTCTCCATCCTTTTTCAATTTAGTTAACAATTCTTCTATTTCTTTCTTTTCGGTCTCTAATTTTTGAAAAGTTTCCAATAGTTCCGAGCTCAGTTTTTTAATTTCTTTCTTTAACTTCTGAGGATCTTGTGGTTCTTCCTCCTGATAAGTATAGATGCTCGGCAATAAAAGGTAGTCATTATCCTTTATTTTTTGTTTGCTCGTTCCTTCCTTCTCTTTTTTTAGTCATTGATGATAGTTATCAGTAATTTGCTTAATTTCTTCTTTGGTTAATTCTCGTAAATTATTATTAATCATTTCTCCTGAGAATTGAGAAGCATTAAAGAAAAAGTAGTCTTGGAGTTTTCGGTTCTTTCTTAACAGCCAAACTACTGCCGATATCCCAGTAGTATAAAAAAGTTTGTCAGGAAGTTGAACTATCCCATCAATTAGATTTTCTTCAATAAATTTCTGCCTAATTTTCTTTTCTTGCTTAGCACTACTTACAGAGTTATTGGCCATAACGACAGCAGCCACTCCGTTTTCTTTTAGTTTGCTAATAATATGGATTAATCAAGCATAATTAGCATTATTTTTAGGTGGACTATCATAACTTTCATATTTCTCTGGATAATGGCTCTTGCTTTCTTCTAAGCCTCATTTTTTTAAATTAAAAGGGGGGTTGGCTAATATGTAGTCAAATTGTTCTTTGTAAAATAGATCATCTGAGAATGTGTCGGCATACCTGTTGCCCAAATCAATTTCTAAGCCACGAATTCACATATTTATTCGACACAGTCTTCAAACTGCCGGATTTTTCTCTTGGCCTCAAAGGGTAATATCACCATTTTTTTCTTTGTATTGATTCACAAACTCGATAGCTTTAATAAACATTCCGCCGCTACCGCAACAAGGGTCATAAATTCTTCCTTTGAAAGGTTGAATTAAATTAACCAACAATTCTACTACGCATCGCGGAGTATAAAATTCTCCTCCTTTTTGGCCCGAAGTTAAAGCAAATTCTTTCAAAAAATATTCGTAAATTTGTCCAATGGCATCGCTATCTCCCAAACTAGGCAGTTTGTTAGCATAAATATCAATTAATCTTTCAAGTTTGCTGTTATCTACTTCTAAATTAGCATAGATTTTAGGAAAAATATTTTCTAAATTATTTTCATCTTCTATTTTACGAAAAGCACTGTCTAATATTTCTTTGATTTTAGGGTCCTTTCGTTGGTTATTAATAAATTTTCAATGTGCTTTTTCAGGAATGTATAAAATGTTATGCTGGCGATAATGGTCCCTTCAATACTGAGGATAATTAATAAAATTGGTATATTCTGCTTTACTTTTTAATTCTTCAATAACTTTGCTATGAACATCAAAACGCTCAGAAATGTGCTTTAAAAATATTAAACCTAGGCAAATATCTCGGTAAAGAGAAGGGTCAAAGCTTCCTCTTAAGTTATTTACCCCTTCTCAAAGAACTTTCTCAGTTTTTATTAACTCTTCTTTGTCCATAAGCGGTGTCTTATAATGATTTTTTACAAAAAATTTAAGAAAAATAATTCTCAACTCCCCCTTCCAAAACCAAAACCTTATAACCCTTTTCGCTTAAAATTTGAGCCGCTTGACCGGAACGATTTCCATAATTACAGTAAGTAATAACCAACTGGTTTTTATTAGGAATATATTTTTCGGGTTTACTAACTAAATCTAAAAAAGGGATATTCAGGCTATTAGGTAATTTTTTTAGTTGCTGATATTCTCAATTATCTCGGACATCGATAATCAGAACTCGGTATTTGATTTTATCTAATTCCAGTTTGGTGACGAATATTTTTTTTATAATCTCCATGAGGTTTACCTATCAATTAAAGTTTATCTTTGATGAAATCGGATAGTAAATAGTGAATTTTTGCAAATTCCTGAACTGAACTTATTAAGAATTCATAAGTATTATCCTCTTTATCAACCAGACTATTTTTTATATCATCAAACTTTTGCCTTAATAAACTGCTCGGATTAACAAGAAAAAATTTCGGCTGGTTCAATCTGCCATCTTTTCAACTTAGAGTTAAAATAGTTTCCTGATTTAATTTTATGTCTACTACTGTAGATTTTGGTCTGCTTTCAGGGAGAATCACTGGAAATTTCTCTTGTAAATTTTTAATTTCTTGCTTCATTCATTCGTCAGTTTCCTTTTTTCACGAATTTTGATAATCACTAATTGATTTTTTATTTCCTTTTCCTATTCCAATAGGCTTTGCCGGTTGTGAAATTTTAATTGACTTCTTTGACGATAATAATTCTAAATCATCTGTGTTAACATACAGAAAATTTTTCCCTTCTATTTTTAATAATCCTACTTTAACAATACTAGTATTCGGTAATTGACTAAAGGTTTTTAATTTTTCGGCTAGAGAATTTATTAAAATTAATTTTGGTTTTGCTCCTTTTCACAGTTTGTATTTGTAGATATCTTTCTCCCCTCTTTTTCCATTCTTGTAGTAATAATTAAATTTAGCCTCTTCTATTAAATCTTCTTTTTCTTCTTGATCCATTTCTTCTAAATATTTTAGAACTTGTTGTATCCGATTATAATCATCTAGTTTGTATTCAATAATTGCGAAACTTAGTGTTGTAGGATTAAAAATGATTGTGTCTTGTATCCTATCACTGCCAACTGGTCATTGTTTAGTTAAAAAATGTCAGGAAGGAAAAATTTTGTTTAAATTATTATTTTCGGCAAAAAAATCTTCCATTTCTTTTTCTCTTGTAAAAAGTTCAGGTTTAATATTTATTTCTTCTATTTCAGACAGAGTTTTTTTGCCCTTGTCAATTTTTAATAATTTAAGCATTTTATTTTTCTTCTATTTTTGTTTTAAGTTGCGGAAAAGCAATTACCTCTTTAATGCTATTTTGACCAGTAAATAACATGATTAATCTGTCTATCCCAATTCCTAATCCTCCGGCCGGTGGCATTCCATACTCCAAGGCTTCCAAAAATTCCTTATCAAAACTGGCAATTTCTTCATTCCCTAACTCTTTTTGTTTAGTTTGCTCTTCAAATCTTTTTTTTTGTTCGATAGGGTCATTTAACTCACTATAACCATTAGCGAATTCTAATCCCCCAATATATAATTCAAATCTGTCAGCAATTTCTTCATTATCTATTTTGCTTTTGGCTAGGGGCGAAACTTTTATCGGGTAATCATAAATGAAAGTCGGCTGAATTAACTTTTTTTCTACATATTCTTCAAAAAAGGCTAAAATAATTTGCCCAAGGCTTTTCTGAAACTTTTCTAGTTTTAAATTATGTTTTTGGACTAATTCCAAGGCTTCTTCTAAGTTATTTATTTGGGAAAAGTCGATGTTCGTGTGTTCTTTAATTGCTTCTACCATTGATATCCTTCGAAAAGGATTTTGAAAACTAATCACATGAGAAATCTCCTTTTCGCCCTCTTCTTCTTTTAATTTAAACTCAAATTCCTCCTTTTTGAGAACTTCTTCAGATAAATAGTGAAATAACTCTTCAGTTAAATTCATCATATGTTCAGCATTTTCATAAGCCTGATAGACTTCAATACTGGTGAATTCTGGGTTATGACGAGCATCTATCCCTTCATTTCGAAATATTCGACCAATTTCATAAACTTTATCAAATCCTCCAACTAGCAGTTTTTTTAAGGGGATTTCAGTAGCAATTCGCAAATAAAAATCGCGATGTAGTCTGTTATGTTTAGTAATAAAAGGTTTTGCTTGGGCTCCAGATGCTTCAGAAACCAAAACAGGTGTTTCGATTTCGATAAATCCTCTCTGATCTAAAAACCGGCGTATATTTTGGATCACTTTGTGGCGAACAAAAAAAATTTCTCTATTTTTTGAATTAACAATAAAATCCAAATATCGGCTGCGAAATCTTTTCTCGGTGTCTTTAAGTTTGAAGTGAGCGGTGTCAGGAAGAGGATTTTGGCATTTGGCTAAGATAACAAATTTTTCTACCCCTATGCTTAATTCTTGTTTGTCTTTTTGTGCGTTAGTTTTACAAACCACTCCTGTTACTCCAATAATGTCTCCTATACCTATCTTGGAAAAATTCTCATTCTGAACTTTCAACTGAATAACTCCGTTCTGATCGGCTAAATCAGCAAAAATTAAACTACCAAAACTTCTTATCCTGTTTATTATTCTTCCAGCAATATTCACTGCTTTATTTTCTACTTTTAACCTTTCTTGGGAGAAACTAGAAAATTCGTTGATTATTTTTTTTATACTAGTATCGCGAGAAAATTTAGTTTGTTGAAAAGGATTTTGGTTTAGTTCACTATTCATTTAATGATATGTAAATTTTACTAGTTATTTGCTAGCATTCATTATAATTATTAATTTTTTCAGACTGAGCAATTTTAATTTCTTCTGAATAATTTCTTTGTTATTCTTATCTAAGTTATTATCTGCTTCATCAAAAATAAATATTTCTTTATCATCTTTTCACAATGTATTTTGCAGGTCAATTAATTGTTTTTGTCCCAGCGATAAGTTTGATTTGACTAGGTTAGCAGATTCAGCATAAGAAATCTTTTTCCGCCAATTTTTCAAGTTTAATTCTTTTAACTCGTATTTCCTATTAATAATCACTTTTCCTCCTGATGGTTGATAAAATCCAAAAAGTAAATCAATAATAGTCGTTTTACCGAATCCATTAGGAGCTTGTAAATGATTAACTTTCCCTTTCTCAAATACTAAATCCAATTCTTTCAAAACTCGTTTATCTTTTTCATAAAAAAAAGAAACTTTTTGTAAAACGATACTAGTAATAGGTTCGGAAATTAGAACATTTTTTTGAATGTCATTTCTTTCTGGCAAACTAAGAAAATAATTAAATCGTTTTTGAACCGAAGAATATTGAGGATATTTTCTCACCCCTTTCATTAAATAATTAAAAGAAGTTGTCAATTTAGTAAACATAGTGAAAATTACAAAATCATTTGCACTAGGAAGAAATATTAAAAGAACTAGCAATAAAAAAACTTTTCCGAAGCGGATCAGATAATCGAAAGTTGACTCATAAAGCGAACTAAAAAAAGTTTCTTTGCTAATTTTTTCCTGAACTGTTTGGGAAATTTGCTGATAATCTCTAAGGAAGTTATTAGTTAACCCCTTTTTGATAATTAACTTTCGATTATTAATTAGATTATTTTCAGCTTCAGTTTGCTTTTCGGTGGCTTTTTCTAATTCAGTTTTTCGCCGACTAATTAGATTGTTGAAAACAAAACTTAGCAAACTGGCTAGAAAAAAATAAATCAAACCTGCCCATATACTTGCTCCAGAAACTGATTTTAACTCATAAAAAACCAAAATAGTGGTCAAGAAAAAAACATAAAGGCTATCGGGAAGGATAACGAAATAATTGCCTAACTCCTTTGATTGGTGATAAACAACTCCGAATGTTCTCCTTTCTCGACCTCTCGCTTCTTTTTCTTTTAACTTGTATAACTTACTAATTGATTTTTTTTTTAGGTCATTACTAACCAAATTGGTTAAATAATTTCGGTAATAGTAAGAAAGAGCTGTCAAAAGACAACTTATAACAGTGAAAGTAATTGCGAACGAGAGATAACCTTTTCAGTTTTTACCAAAATCTAGCAAAGGTTTACCAGCAAAGGAATAAAAAATGAATTTAGGGTTTGACCTCGAAACTCCCTTTAAATAGGAATAAACTTTTTCCGCACCATTGCGAGTTAAAAGCAAAAATGAAACTGTGCTAATAGTGGCAAGAAAAATTAAGATTAAAAACTTTTTTCAGTATTTTTTGGCAAAATATTTTCAGTTGATAAACACGGCCGTTCACGACAAAAAAATTTCCTGGTTTAGAAAATCCTTATAAATTTATTTTTCATTATTTAAAAAAATGTAAACTAAAAAAATGCCAACTATTGCTATATTAAAAAAAGGAACAATTAGTTGCGGTCAATTATTTACTCATCTAAATCCTTCCCCGATGGGAGGGTGAGTTGCTAAAACATAATTAGTTAAGTTTCAAGAGATAAATACAGCAAATATTAACCAGTCTCATCAACGAAGTTTTCACTGATATATAAGGCAAAGAAGTGGACGAAAAAAAACTACTAATAAAATCAAAAAATTAAGTAAATAAAGAAGAGTTAGTGGAAGATATAAAAATCCAATAATAAAAGAATATAAATCAATATTTTTCATAAAATTACATTAACTTGCAATCTTTTGGCGGTATTTCAATTTGAGTTTTTAAATACTCTTCTATTCTACCTTTTTCATAAGCAATATCATAAGCAGAGGCGAGATTATCTAAACTATTATCTGTATTTCTTATTTCATTTCTCAAACAGATAGTTTTTCTATTTCCATTGGCAATACAATCGCTGTGAACTCCTCGGGAACACCAAATGCTAGTAGCAGTTGGGTGCTCCTCTGCTTGTTTAGAGTGATGAACTCCTAAGATACTCATAAAAGCAAAGTGTTCACAATTATTACTTGCTAAACAATACTTATAACAACTTCCGCTTGACTTTCCCATACTTTTATAAATTGCTTTTGCGAGTTGCTCTTTAATTTTTTCCTTACTCTTGAAAGGAATAATTGGATAAATGCGGTATGCACTTCCAGTTTGACCTGATGAACTAGAAGAAGAGGAAGAACTAGAATTACTGGAATTAGAAGAGGAACTACTCGAAATACTACTTGAACTTAAAGAGCTGCTACTGCTCGAACTGGAACTACTATTGCTACTCGAACTAGAATTGGAAAAAGAGGAACTGCCGCTGGAACTACTGCCACTTGAAGAACTGGAAGAAAAAGAAGAACCTCCGCCACTATTATCAGTAATGAAATTACTTCAACTATCAAAAATAGCACCAGTATCATCTTGATAATTGCAAACTCAATCTTTTCCTAAATAAACAGCATAATGATAATAACCTCCATAAAATTTTGGTCTTTTAACTTCTAAAATATCAAATGGTCTAAGGTAATTGTCAGGATAACTTGTATTTCATGGTAATTTTTTTTCGACAACATAAAAACTATCTCTTACTGAACTAAAATCCGTATATTCATTAGCATGATGGTGAACCGATAAGATTGGAATTTCTCCATCTAACTCTTTTCTTAGCCATCTCGCTTCTCCTTGCGCTTTTTCTAATTCTTCATGTTTTTCCCTTTGATAAATCCCTCAGTAATTGTGGTCATGGTATCTAGGAAAAACAAAAACTTCTTTATTTCAATTAACTTCTCCTCACTCGTTTCCTCTTTCTGGTTCATAAACTATTAAAAATACTTGATAATAACTTTCATGGTAATTAATGACAGTGGCAACATTATAATTTGACCATCAAGTTTTAAAGCGAATAAATTCTTTGATGGTTCCGGGAATCTTATCTTTAGTTTCACTTTTTTGTTTAATTAAAGAGGCTAAATGTTCTTTTTCCTGAAGATAAAAATCTTTTTCATCATTAGTTAAGCAATCAACAGAAACATTTAAAGCCTTTTTTATTTTAAATCTTTGACAGGCATCAAAATTTTCCAAACGATAAATTGAGTTCCCACCAAAGTTTAATTTTCCTTCTTGGTCAAAATCATCTTCACGAGCATTACAGTGAATAAGAACTCATTCTTGCTTGGCACCAAAAATGTTAATTTCAGTAGGAATTTCATCTAACCTTCAATTTTGTGGATTATTAAGGGTGATTTGAACTATTTTGCCAAAATTAGTAAGTTGAAAGTTATTGTGTTCAGGAGCAACTTCCTTAGAGATTAGATTGAAAATTGCTTCACCTCTTTTTGCATCACCATTGAAATTATCCCGATTTTCATTTTCCATTTCTCTCACTTTCGATAAAGGAATCTGCATAGTAGCAAAAACTCTATTCAACTGTTCATTATATTCAAAAGAATTAGAATAGATTTCAGTGTCTCTTTTCAACTTTTCTCCTCGACCCTCTAATATTTCACCAACCTCAAACAAATAATGTTTTAACTTTGGAGGGCAATTATTAACATCAATTTTTGCTGCATCTAATCATTTGTAATATTTTTTTTTTGTTTCATCACAAAGGAATTGCGGTTTGCCTACTATTTCTATTGCTGCCTTAAGTCCAAGTAATGAGTTAGCAAAAATACTTTCGACTTCGCTCTGGTAATAACTTTCAAATTTATTATTGCGAATTTGCTTTTTAGTCTTACAATCAGAATAAACTACTTTAATATATCTCTCTAATCCCTCTATCGAAGTGTAAAATGCATCATGGATTATTTTCCTATCGTAAACAGTTATTTGTTTTAATTGCTGTTTTTTGCACATAACTCTTCTATGAATATAATAATTATTTACTATTTCTTTGTAATTTTTGTAGCAGTAATTTGGTAATTATAAAGCAGGATATAAATTAGCAGTAGACTTAGATAAAACTCGTTTCTTTTCTCCGAATTCCGAGGAAGAGAAAGTATATAGCAATAGTGGTATGGTATCTAAACTTCTGTAATAATACTTCTATTTATAATAGTGAGTCGAGGAGTAAAATCATAATAAATATCGGAAAGATTTTTAAGTAAGTTAATTAATCCAACTTTGCATCTTTTCGTTATGAATACTTGCGACCTTGCCATTAACTACAATACTTAATTTTATTCCTAGACCGCCACTTTGGCTCTAATTGGCGGATAGGGTTCATAATTTTCTAAACTAATGTCTTCAAAACGAAAATCAAAAAGAGATTTTATTTCGGGGTTAAGTTTCAAAATAGGTAATTTTCTAGGTTCTCTTTTTATTTGCTCTCTAACTTGTTCCAAATGGTTTGAGTAAATGTGGGCGTCACCAATCACATGAATAAATTCTCCTAGTCTGTATCCGCAAACTTGGGCTAGCATGGAAGTTAACAAACTATAACTAGCGATGTTAAAAGGAACACCTAAAAACATATCCCCGCTTCTTTGATACAATAAACAATTTAGTTCTCTATTTTTTGAAACAAAAAATTGAACTAAGCAATGGCAAGGAGGTAAAAGCATTCCCTTTATTTCCGGCGGATTCCAAGCCGTTAAAATGTGACGGCGAGAAAAAGGATTTTTTTTTAAGTTTTGCACCAATTCTTTTAGTTGGTCTACTCCTCCAAAATCTCTTCATTGTTTTCCATAAACGGGGCCTAAATTGCCATATTTTTTAGCAAAATTATTGTCGTTTTTAATTTTCTCTAAGAATTCTGCTAAAATTTCCCCCTTATAATCGGAAGAGGATTTATATTTTTCAAAAGGTCATTCATTCCAAATATTTACTCCATTATCTACCAAATATTTAATATTTGTGTCTCCTTTGATAAACCAAAGTAATTCATGGATGATTGCTTTAAAATTTACTTTTTTAGTGGTCAGTAAGGGAAAACCTTCTTGGAGATTAAAACGCATTTGGCAGCCAAATAAAGCTATGGTTCCTATTTGGGTTCTATCTGGTCTTTTTTCTCCGTTTTTTAATATTGAAGATAATAAGTTTAAATATTCCCTTTCTCCCACTTTAACTTTCCTTCTCTTCTCAAATGCCTAATCTTTTTCTTAATTCTTTGACTACTTCTACATCAATTTTCCTTTTTTTAAATCCTTGTTCCAAAGTAATATTGAAGGAATTAAGTTTTTTTATTTCTTCCATGATTTTTTCTCGTTCACTAGGCAAGGCACCGGCTTGAAGTTTTCTTTCCAAAGATAATATTTCTACTTCACGCCGCCAGTAGTCTCACAAGAGCATCAATTTATTTTCGAGACGTTCAGCTTCTTTTCAATTACTATCAAGCCATTCTTGATTACTTTTCTTATTTTCTTCAGACTCTCTTGCAAATTGTTTGACTAAATTTTCCATTTCGACTTGATTGTCTTTATCTTTCTTTTCTATTTCTTTCATTTTAACCAAGAAGTTTTTTTTCAATTCTTTCTTTTCAGTAATAAGTTTTCGCAAATGACTTTCAATGTCATCTAATATTTTCTCGGCTCGGGTTTTTTTGGTTAATTTACTGCTAATATCTACCATATCCTTAAATACATTTTACTATTTTTTAGTGACCTATTAAAATGATTATTTTTCTTTTTGCTAATTTTTCTATGCTTTGACGGAATTCTTGTTTATTATTTTCATCTAAAGCGTTATTCGCCTCATCAAAAATAAATATTTCTTTATCTTCACTGCTGGTGAAAAGATTTTTTAAATCGGCTAGTTGCTTTTGCCCAGTTGACAAACCATTTTCAACCAAATTTTCGTGTTCAGCATAGGCTATTTTTTTGCGTCATTTTACTAAGTTTAGTTCGCTTAATCTATATTTATCGTTAATTAATATCTCTCCCTTATTAGGTCGTTGTAATCCTATAATGAGGCTGATTATTGTGCTTTTGCCGAAGCCATTTTCTCCCGTTAAATAATTAATTTTTCCTCTTTGGAAATGTCAATCTAATTTTTTTAGCACTGGTTTATTTTCTTGATAGGAAAAGTCTACTTTTTTTAAGAGTTATGGTTTTTACTGGTTCGGAAATTAGAACATTTTTTTGAATGTCATCTCTTTCTGGTTGGTTTAGCAATCAATTTAGGCGTTTTTGGGCGGAAAAGTAATAAGGGTAATCTTTTAGACGTTCAATTATTTTCTTTTCATGGGTGTAAAGTTTGCTGAGCATATGTCAAGAAGTAAAATCATACTTGCCGCTAACTAAGCACGCTAAAGGTATGAAAATGAATTCCAGGGAAGGAATAATGGAGTAATTCGGAACTACCATTGCCAAAGTGAATTTTCAATCCCTTTTGTCGGTTACAGAATAAGTTCTATTAACTGTTTTTTGGTAATTGTTCTGGTAAAGAGTAGCGAGATTTTTTTTAATAATTAGGTCCCGATGATTTACAAAGTTATCTTCTTTCTTTTTCAATTTTTCATTTTCTTTTTGTAGAGCAAGTTCTTGCCTGTAAACAAAGTAATTTAAAACTAAACAGATGATCGCTACCAGAGCAAAGCCAATGAAACCATAAAGAAGAATTTCGGCCTTAATGTCCTCGTTGCTTGCTTTTATTCCTAAGCCAGTAAATATTAAAAAAGCAGTCAACAACACATAATAAATTTGGTTGGGATAATGAACTACCTTATGAGTAAACGTTTTTTCGTCGCTATCTAGGTTGGTTAAAATTTGTTCTTTATTGTAGGATTTAAGTTGAAAAAGTTTACGACTAATTTTGCTTTTAAGAAAACGCGAAATCTTGTTAGCCAAATAAAAAGCGTAATAAACATGAACAATAACTATTAAGCAGTAAATGATTATGTAAATGAATCAGAATCAGAAAAAACTCTTTCTGTCCTGGAAAGCATAAAGTTCTTTTCCTCAAAAATTAAGAGTAAGTTTTTGGTCAAGTTTTCCTTTAACCAAGTTTTCAATAACTTTGGCCAAGTTACTGTCCATAACGTAATTAACCAATGCACTTAAAGTAGTCAAGATACCAAAAATTATTTGTTCTTTTCAATACTTTCTAGTAATTGAAAATCAGTTTAATTTTACTGACTTTTTATTGTTTTTTTCTTTTGTATCCATTTTGATAGTTTAATAAATTGATTATCTTTGTCAATAATTATTAGAAAATAGAAGGATTAGCAGAAAAATATCAATTCCTTAAACACTTCTTTGCTAATAACATTATTAACTTATTTCGCAGTTTAATCTTTTTTTAATTTTTTGGGCCGCTTCGGTTAAAGCATTTTCTTTAACCGTCAAAATATGATCAAATTCGGTAGCAAATTTTCCTTCTTTTTCTTCAATGATTAACCTCCGGATAATTTCTGATTCACTAGTTCCTCTCTTTTTCATATGCTCGATCATTTTTTCCCTACTTTCGGCTTTAAATCAGTAAGAAATTATATTATAATCTTTTTCTTGGCAATATTTTTTAATTTGCCGAAAACCTTCCACATCTACAATGATTACTCCGTTTTTCTTTTG